CGTCCAGATGGCTGCAGCCCACAGAGCTTTCCATTCCTTTGGCAGAAGAGGAGTGACAGGAGAAGAGGGGCACCAGGCACAACAAGCATCGTGTTCAGGGACAGTGCAGTGAGGAAGTTCAGAACCCAGCTCTGAATCCACCACTTCCAAGCAATGGGGTCTTGGGCAAGTCACGTGGCCTAAGTTCTTGTTTCTTCACCCCTAAAACTGGGGTAACGCATCTACTTCAGAGGCAATAATTAAAGCATTAAAGGAAATAATGTTTCTAATGTGCCTGGCATGGGACAGCCTCAGCTCTGATTATATGGAAAGAGGGCGCCAGTTGGGAAAGATATAGGGATGCTCCCACCCTCCTCCTATGCAGACTCAGATGCCGGAAAGCAGCTGTCTTCCCACTTTCTACCCTCTGCTCATATCTGCTAGGTCTGCTGATCTTTTTGTCCATCAATTCTTCCCGTTCTGGTCTTCCTGCTCTCCGGTGCGAGTCTGGGAGTCCCTGGATTGCACTTTATTTATATTTATGGTATCGACAGTGTCTCCCTCTGCCTCTCCATTTCCCTGGTCTTGCTTTTGCCTTTTCTCCCTGACTCTGCCTTCTCTGCTTCCATCCCTCTGTGCTGGGGCCCACTGGGTTTTTTAGGGGTGGGTTGTAGATACTTAGGGAGGCAGCTAATAAGATAAGAGGCATGTGTCTTTGTATGCTCTAGAGGGTTTACGTGACTGGTGCGTCAGTCTGCTGTGCTTATTCTGTGTCTGGCATCATGACGGATGGGTTCTAACCTCTCTGCTCCTGACTTGCTGTGTGACTTTAATAAGTCAATAAGTCTCTCTGGGCCTTCGTTTCCCAGCTTTTAAAGAAAGAGGGTAAACACAATGGGTTCCAAGCTCCCTCTACACATCTGTCCTCATGTTTGCCATTCCAAGGCCTGTGTGAAAGGGTGTTGGCTGAGGGGATCCCTTTTGCGTGAGTGCACAAGGCGGGGTGGATGGGAGGATGTTTGAGGAAACTCGTGTCTCCACCTAAATAGCTAGGATGTTTCAGAGCAACTAAAACAAAACATTCAAAATGAAAGTTCCCTGTCACCCAGATTTCTCACCTAGAAAGTCAGCTGTGGCTGGGGGGACAGAGCGCCTGGGTTTGGGAAGAGCTTTATGTAATCCACCCCTCCCTTTTGGGTGCACATTCCTGAGCTCTTTGGTGGCATGAATGATAGAAATTAATTGCAGTTAATAATTAATCCCTCAAGAGCAGTGACAGGCCCAGGCTTGGGTGGGGCCCAGACACCCACAGGACGGACACCTCCTCAACTTCCCTCCCTGCGGGACTGGGTATCCACCCCCTCAAGCCTCGAGACCTGTGGAGGTGGGGCATGGGATTGAGGAAAGGGGGCCACCTTCTATTTGCCCCCCAGCCCAGTGGATGGCCCTTTCGTGGGTCCTCAAAGAACAGTTCTTGAGAGAACTGGAAAAGCCAGTTACCAGCGTCCCCCTCTCATCTCCCACACGCACCTGTGCTAAGGACGGAGTGGGGCACAGAAGGGAGGGCCAGGTAAGGAGAGGCCAGCAGAGCTTCCAACATCTCTTCCGTCCGCCTGAGAAGCAAACAACAAGGTAGCCGCGATGGGGGCTGGACTGTCCCTCTTCCTCTTCCTGACTCTCCTTGGCAGCTCACAGGGAACAGGTGAGATCTGGAGGGCTAGCCACCTGGGTCCTCGTGGCAAGAAGAGGCTGAGAAGGGGAGTAAGAGAGATGGAGGCACCGTAGGCCTGAGCTCCCAGGGGTTCAGGGTGGAACCCCTACACAGAGAGGTCTGGAAGGGGAACTCGGGTGGGGATGAAGTGGGAGGAGTGCCCGCATCTCTGAGGGAATCCAGCCCTGGCAGCTGGGTCCTAAGCTGTACTTTTGGGGCCAGGAATGACTTTGCAACTGAAGCTGAAGGACTCCTTTCTGGCAAATTCCTCCTATGATTCCAGCTTCCTGAAACTGCTTGAGAAGGTAGTCTTTTAGGAGGGAAAAGGATGGGGCGGTGTGGGCTTGGAGTGGGTTTCTGAGTCCACTGGGGCCTCTGGCTGTCCCCAGGGAGGGAATGAGAACCATCTTACACCCTTTTCTCTCCCTCAGCTCTGCCTCCTCCTCCATCTCCCATCAGGGACCAGCGTCACCCTCCATCACTCAGGATCCCTGCATCACGTCATCTGCAAAGTCTGAGAGCAATCCAGGCTGGTTCCCCTCTTGGTTAGGGCATTTGGTCCCTGGGGAGCAGGGGCAATGCCCTGACCCTGTCTTCTAGCAGGTCCTCACCCTGCTGAGTGGCAGTAAATACACTGAATTCAATGACTTGATTTTGTGGGCTCGTGAGCAGAGGGCCGGCAGGAAAAGGACGCCCAAGTCTCTGACTCTCCCTTGTTAAGCAGAGGGTTTCCGGGCTGGACAGATAGCCTGAATACCAGTGTCAAAGGCACATCTGGGAAATTAACTGCTGGAACACGCACACGTACCACACACACATGTATGTGAACACACACTTCAAGCTGAGATCTTCAGAACACCTGGGAATAAAGGAAAGGAACATTTGACTTCCTGCTTTATTCCAGGCATGAGGCTTTTCCACTTCAGTGCTTACAGGATTCTTGCATGTAGCATAATAGGTCTCATCTGATTTTCCAGATGAGGAAATTGAGGCTAAGAGGGGTAAGTCACTCACCTAAGGTCATTAGCAGTGGAGAGGTTTGACACCGGACAAATGCCTTGGCTTAAGCCAGATTTTAATTTCCTCTCCCTTTGCTTCAGCTCTGGGGTTGAGGGCTCAAGAATCCCAGACAGGGGTGTAGGTAGGACATCCCCAGGACATGGGCCCCCGACACAGAGAGCCACACAGGTTGGTCAGGGTAGGAGTGGGGGGAGGTGCTCAGGTGAGAGATGAGGGGTCCAGCTTGTGAGATGATGGCCAGGCTGGAGGAAGTGGTGGGGAGAAAAGGGTGGGTGCCAGTAGAGGGTGCACTGGCTAACTACGTTAGTCACACAGGCCCACACCTACGTCCTAGATTAGTTTCTTAGTCTCTTAGGGCCTCCACTTCTTTAATGTAAAATGGGGAGAATGAAAGTACCTGCTTCCTAGGATTGTTCTGAGGATTATGTGGATAAGTTACCCAGGGTACGTGCCATGGTGCCTGTTAGATAAGTGGGCCTGGGTGGTAGGGATTATTATTATAGTAGAAACTTGGTCCACATAAGTCCTGGTCCCCTTGAGGGTCCAGGGTCCTCCTCCTGCTTTTCATGAGGCAGTCACTTATCTGACTCCACACTCAAGGGTACCTTGACTTCTCATCAGCTGTCTCAAAATGCAAGCTTGCAGCCCAGACTTGATCATTTGGCGGGTGTTGGTATGACTGCTTCCTGTTCTCCACAGTACCTATCTTCCCATTTCCCCCACCCCCTGCCCCTATCACCATCATATGACATTAAAGACTGACTCCTTTGGAGGGAGGGGAAGGCCACAGTTCCATATGGAGTGCCCTGAAGATGAGAAATCATAACCAAGTTCCTCTAGTTTCCTTGACAACTGTCCTGGGAAAATTAGCTCAGAGGAGAGATAGCCGGGGGTCCCAAAGGGCCCCAGTATTTCATGACTGGCCCCTGGCCTGCACCAGTGGTCAGGTGACATCCATGGGTCAGGTGTGTAGGCCCCAAACAAGCTGGGGGAGTGAATGTCTGTATCTCCAAATGGCTGGAGGAGCAGACAGCTAAATGCTCCTCAACCTGGTTCCTGGGTCTCTGGACTTGGGATCACTGGGCTGTGATTCCTAGATTCTTTTCTCAAAGAATTCTCTTCCCAGATTTAAGACAGAGCAGTGCAGTGAAAAAGAATGCTTTGGGATCCACCAGACCTGGGGGTGGCAGAGGCTGCTAACTGTTCCCCTAATAGTCATTCTTCTGGGAGAGTCACGCAAATATTAGCTGAGCACATGGCTTATTTCCACTTAGCTAAGCAAGTGGCTGATTACGTGACATTTTCCAGACTCCCTTGCAGCTAGGAATGGTCATGTGATTAGGTTCTATCCAACAGGATACAAGCAGAAAGGAAATATGCAACTTTCTGGTAATGTCCATCCATTACAGGAAAGGAGCTTCCTTTCCTTTCCCTTCTCCCAGAGGGAAGAACAGTCTTTATAAAGGCCTACAAGGTCTTAGACCAGCACTTTCCAACAGAACTTTTCATGATGATGGAAAAATGTTATAACCTGCACTGACCAATTTGGTAGCCACGATCCACAAGTGGCTAGCAAATACTTGAAACATGGCTAGTGTGGCTGAAAAACTGAATATTTAGTTTTATTTAAATTAATTGAGACAGCCAAGCGGCTACCTTTTTGGACAGCACAGCTGTAGATGATCGCCTAGCCACCCCCTGTCGCTTGCCTTCCTGACTTCACCTCCCACTCCCCCACTCCACTCACTCTGCACCCCGCCCCTCCCCACAGGCCTCCTTGCTATTCTTTGAGCTCTCCAGGTCTCCCATCTCAGTGTTGTGCTCTGGCTCTTCCTGCTGCCTGGAACACTCGTCTCCCAGACATCCGCTTGGCTAATTTCTGCAGCTCCCAGAAGTCTTTGCTTAATTCTCACCTTTACAATGAGTTCTGCCTTGACCCGTTTCATATGGGTCACCCCCCAACCTGCCTTCCCACCGTCACACATGCAGCTGAGCCCCCTTACCTTGATCTACCTTTCCCCCTTAGAGTTTATGACCTTCAGACACACTAGTTTATTTAGTTACACATGTTATTCCTGACTCTCGCTGCTAGAATGAAAGTAGAGGCCCCACTAGAAAGGTCCTCTTCCCTCCAGTGAGGCAGGCCCCGCACAGCACCCGCACTCCCACTGTGGCCCAGAGCCCAGCGCTGAGAGGCAGCCCTCCTCGTTCCCATGTCAAAGTCCCAGGGAACAACTGAGAGGCGGAGAAGTCACCACAAGAGGCAAGAAGGATCAAAGGACCACAAGCAGACAGGTTTGGGATTTGAGTTTATCTGAACTTCCTCATTCTTGAACTTCCATGTGTGACTGCATAGGAGGGAGACTGGGCCAAAAGCATGAGTGTCTCAAGGACACCCAGTCACTCTGACCAAGCCAATCTATCTCCTCATTGACAAAAAGAGGGAGCCAGACCACGTGGTCTCTGAGGCCCCATCACACCCTGACAGCTGCCCAATCTTTCCTCAAAGGCAGGTCTGAGAAGGGAGAAAGGTGCCAGGGATGGTGAGTGAGAGCTCAGAGCTCCCCTGGGCCAGGAGACGCATCCATCAGCTGCTGGAGGTGAGAGGCTGCCTTGTCCAGTTTTGACAATTCCAACTGGAGGGAAGAAAGCTGGACAAGGAGGGAAGCCGGTGAGGATTGATACCTGGGGCCCACATCCCCTCAGGGAGTCAGGCGTCCTCCCCCAGCCTCACCCTCTGCTGCCTCTGAATCTCTGCCTCTCCCTCTGATGGGGTCCGGGCTATGAGGCCATCAAACTGCTTCTGCAACCTGTGTCTTCGGGCAGCTAGCAGAGGCAGGTGGGTCTGGGGGTCCACCAGGCCCTGCAGAGAGAGAAGGCTCAGACATCAGCAGAGCACCCAGCACTCCCTTCTCCCCACTCTAAGATCCCTCCTCACTTTCATAGACCCCGCCCCTTGCCCTCCTCCCAACATCCTTTTCAACCCCTCCCCTCCCCCTCCAATCTCCTCTGCTCACCTGCAGCTCCATGTAGACCTGAACAGTGTTACTGAGTGAGGCCTGGGCCCAGCCGGAGGGAGCGGCTGCACCTGGGGGTAGAAGACCCACGGCCCCACACTGGCCCAGGGTGCCCAGGGGCTCCAGGAAGGCCTCAAAGAGGCCCTGCTCTCCCGGCTCTGAGCTCTGCAGCAGCACTGGGGAAGAAAGGAAACTGTCAGGGACAAGGAACCAGCTCCTTCTCATCTGGCACCCCCTGACTCTGGGCTCTGCCCTCTGCCAGCCCCTCCTGTCTGCAGAGACTCCAGACCCCAGGGCCCACCTCACCTCGGGGCCGGGCCTTGGTGAGCTGGTACGTGGCACGGAGAGCTCTCAGTGCCTGCACGGCCTCCTGGACCCGGGAGAAGCGCCGTTCCAGCTCGGGCTGGTGCCAGTGCTCCTGGAGGCGGGCACCCAGAGTCGATAAGCGGGCACCTTGGAGACTCAGTGTCAGCTCTCCTGGCTCTAACCTCCACCCCCACACCCCCATCTCCTGAGAGCAAGGATCTGTCCTCTCCATTACACACATAATTCGCCATCTCAAGGAATGTAACACAGCCAAAACCGGGGCATCATCTAAGGTCTTAGGTGATCAGTGGTTGATGTCTATTTAATTGCTCTGATTGAAGATGACAACCAACCAAAAATCAGTTAGAATTTAAAAAGTATTATTCAAAACTCACAAAACCAAGTAAGTAAAAAAGAAATTTGGTTAAACTTATAAAATGGTCTTTTGAGTGAGTTTATAGCATTTATCCCTCTCGAGTTATTAAAGCTTAACACTGCACAGAGATCTTGGAGATTTGGGGATATCCTATTACTAACGTCTCATCCTCATCACGACCATGACATGTACTATTACCGTCCCCAGTTTAAAGATGGAGGAAACAGAGGCATGGTCACAGCTAGTGTCAGTCTGGCCATAGCATCCTACTCTAACCACTTGTGAATACTGCCCCGAACACCCTAGAGTTATCCCAGCCCTGCAGGAACAATCCATCCTCCCAAAGACTCTACAGCAAAATACAAACCACTACTGTCAATGACCTCACAGCAGCAAGCCCTTCTAGAAGATGGCTTCACCAGTAGTTCCACTCGAAGACGCCATGGATGGGGGACTCACCAAGCTGTGGGCACTGGGGTAGGGGGCAACACAGATGCTGGGGGCAGGGGGGCTGCCAGGCCTGGGGGGCAGCCTCTGCCAGAGCTCTTCGGCCAGGAAGGGCATCAGCGGGGCGAGGAGGCGGAGACCAACATCAGCGCAGGAGAACAGGACCTGAGGAGGCCCTGGGGGGCGGGGCGAGTGCGACAGCGCCGGCTTCACTGCCTCCTGGGGAGGAAGCCAGCAGGTCAGGGGACAGGCCACGGCCATGTCCTCCCTCCACACACCTGCCGCCCCACCCGCTGTGGGTAAACATGGGCAGGAGCACCAAGCATCTCAGCCCAGTCACAGTCTGCAGCATGTGACAGGGAGACTTCTAGAGCAGGGATTCTCACAGAGGGGTGGGGAATAAAATTGTCACAGAGGTTTGTGTTGTTTAGAATGGAAAGCATTGAGTTTTTTATTTATCAAAAAAGAGACAAGTTTTTTAAAAGGTTGAGAAACAGAGATCTAGGGCAGGGGTCCCGAGCCAGCAGCATCAGCATCACGTAACTGGGACAAGAAGTGGAAAATTCTCACCACCAACCCCCCAACCTACTGAATGAGCCACCTTTGGGGGCAGAGGGCACTCGATGGTCAACAAGCCCTCCCTGCAGTCATGGTGCAGGGTCAGAGCAAGCAAGAGCCCCTGGTCTGAAGACCACTACTCATCCTCCCCGTCCACTCCCAGCCCCCAGCCGGCCTAGGGTCCAACTCAGCAATCACAGGGGGAGGAAAAAACCTCCATCCGCCTCCCGATCCTGCTTTGTCTTCTAGAAGTACCCCCTCCTCTTCCTCCTCCGTCCCCAGGAGACAGGCAGGAACAGCACCCCAGGGCCAGCCCCAGGGAAGAGGGGAATTGGGGTTCCCCATCTCAGCTCTCTTCCTGCCCTAACTGAGGGAACAATTAGGAACCTAGTTCACAGCTTTCTGCCAGGAACAGGAAGCAGGCGGAATGCCAATACTCACCCACTGCCTCACTCACCAAGTAGACGTCACAGAGGTTGTGGAGCCAGAAGTGGTGCAGGGCGTGAGTGACCAGTGCAAGCTCACGGGTGAGGAAGCCCCGCTCACACTCCTGAGCGGTGCGGGCCAGGCAGCTCAGGATCCAGGCGTCCATGGGGGAGGCAAGGGACAGCTGCAGGCAGAAGGGGGCTTCTGGGTGAAACAGCTGGACTCCCACTCTGCTGTCTCCTTTCCTTCCAGATGCCACCTCCAACTCTCAGAAGTCAGACTGCATCCATCTCTTCTCCCAACCATCTCTTCTTTCTCTCTTACCTCTTCTGCAGGCAGGGGTGTGAATTTCTCCCCCAGGGCGTTCAGGATAAAGCGCAGGGCATTCCAGATCTTGTTGCAGAAATGTCGGAAGCCCAGGACCTCAGAGACAGATAGATGCAAGTCGCCCCCTGGGAGGGAGAGCAAGGAAGGAGTGTGCACTGGGGGACTTCAGCCACACAGGGAGTCCTCAGCCCTGCCCCACCCCTCTGCACAGGTGCCACGCCCGCTGCCCTCACCCCAGGCTTACCCAGCGCCCCATGGGAGCACAAGGCGAATCTCAGGGCATCTGTCCCACACTCAGGGAGTCCATGAGGGAAGTCCTTTCTCTGCAACCAGAGGAAGAAGAGGGGTGGCAGCTGCCTATGAGGCTGTAGGGCCGGAAGCTGGGTTGCAGAGGAAACTGGTGATCTTGAACTAGAGACTGGGATGGGTCAGACACTGGCGACTCACCTGTGCTGCAGCTGCAATCGCCAGCTCTGCAGGGTCCAAGTTCCCATCCCTCAGCTTTTCCTGCAGCACCTAGGGTGGGTGAATAATTCTCTGTTATCTGGTGAAAGACCCTGCCCCTATAAGGGTGCCGCCTACTGGCCCTCCCAGCTGCATCCCTCCTGGCTGGCCCCTCCCCTCAGGATCCCTTCCTCTCCCGAATACCCCATCCCTCACCCAGACCCTTCATCCTGACCTGCAGCTCTACCCCACTGATGATGTCCCGTGGGTCCAGCACATTCCCCAGGGACTTGCTCATCTTCCGGCCCTGCCTGTCCCGAACCATAGAGTGAAGCAGCACCTGGGGGCATGGAGCAGATCAGCAGAGGGGTACTTGGAGAACCTTCCCCTGGAGGGTCCCTTGAGATCTCTGTCCTCCAAGCTTTAGGGATGAGGCTTGGAAGTGAATCAGGACAAAGGAATCGGGAACATGGAAAACACATTAGAGGTTAGAACAGAGAACAAGTTTTAGGGAAAACTGGGGAGTTGCAGAGAGGGGCCGGGCACCAAAGGGTCGTACCTTGTTGAAAGGGAGCTGCCCTGTGAGCTGGGTCCCCAACATGACCATGCGGCCCACCCAGAAGAGCAGGAGGTCACTGCCCGTTTCCAAAAGTGACAGTGGGTAGAAATGAGCCAGGTCTGGGGTCTAGGAGGAAAGAGATAAGCAATAAGAACCTCAAGCTTGGGGCCACCAGCTCTTCCTGGACTCTTTGGGGGGTCCCGGTGTCCACTTCTTCATCCCCACCTTCACTCTCTTCTTCTCAACCCGCCTTACCTCTCGGGGCCAGCCCAGAGCAGAAAAGGGGAAAAGAGCCGAGGAGAACCACGTGTCCAGGACATCTGGGTCTTGGAAACAGAATGGGGAATGGGGACAGCTGGAACCTCAGCATCAGGACCTCAGTCCACTGCTGCCCAACTTCTAGCACAACTCCTACCCACAGAGACCCAGATTCGGGCCCTCTGCCCCACTCCCAGCTTTCCCAACCCCACCTTCTCTATCTCAGTACCTACTCCCTCAAACACGCAGACGCCCCCTACCCACCGCCCTCCATGGGTCAGGTATTCACCCCTCTCCAGGGTCAGCTCTGCCCCTGGTCTCCCTGTCAGTTCTGCAGCTACTTCTCTGGCCTCCGCCTCTGTCCGTCCGACCACCCAACAGTCCTCCTTGTCGCCCTGCAGAAGTAAGGGGTGGGGGAGTAAGGAAGAGCAGCCCCTGACAGGTGTGATACACCACTTGAGTTTTCAGGTTCTCAAGCGGTCTGAGTGGCCGGCGCCCTCTGGCTGTGAGATGAAGAAACGCCGGCTCAGGAGCTGTGATCACACAGTAGATGTTTATGTGACTTAAGGCCAGAAGCACAGCAAAGGCAGGGAGGTGGGATTGGCCCTGGTGTCCTCTGACCCCTGTGCTAAGGCTCTTTCGGCCACGCCCAGCTTCCCTTCTCCTTCCTTCTACCAACCTTTGCATGCTCCTCTACAACCAGGTAGGCTGGAATCCGATGGCCCCACCACAGCTGCCGGGAGACACACCAGTCCCTGCCAAGAGGACATGAGTGATTTCTTAGCATAATCAGGGGATTCCCCCTCCCCATCTCCTGAAAGCTTGCGTCTTCCTTACCCAATGTGGGAAAACCAGTGCTGCCAGTTCTTCTGGTGGAAAGAGGGACTGAGCTCCAGGGCCCCCGACTTTACAGCCTGGAGGGAAAGGACCTTTAGATGGTGCTCCCTACCTGCCCCCCCCACCAGTCCCCCATGGATGGGACAAGTGGCCTCTGAGGTGGTTCTACAACTCAGAAAGGACCTCCCAAGCCTCCTAAGAAGATTCTGGGCCTGAGTGAGGACATAAGCCAGCTCTTTCTGGGCACCCTGCCTCCAGCCCCACAGCTCTCCTCTCAACGAGCACAGCTAGAGAGGTCTGCGGGGCAGGAGGCCCTGCACTCCCCGCAAGGCGGCCTCACCTTGGCAGCTTGGTCCCCCATTTCCCGACAGCGGACAAACCACTGGCTCTTCAGTAGGTATTCTACCACGTCCCCGGAACGGCTGAAAGGGACACAGGGTGAGTCCAGCGCTCCTGCAGCCCTGTGCCTTTCCCCCGGGGACACGGGACCCTGCTACATGCCAGGCCCTCAGCACTGACGATACAGCAGCAGGTGAAACAGACACACAGCTCGTATCCTCGGGTAAGGGGTGCACCGCCCATCCCGTGGTCATTCTTCAGCTTCATTACTCCCTTGTGGGGTGGTCCTGAGGGAAGGAGTGAAAATGGGGTTACCTGCAAATGGGCAGCACCATGGGGTGGTTCTGGAGGCCCCGGAACAGGCCCTGCTCCCTCAGTGCCGACATAATCTTTTCCCGGGCCACAAATCGGTGAAGACCCTGGGGAAAAGCGGCGATAGTAAAGCTTAAAGGCTGCTAGGAAAACAAGAAAGTGGGAGAGGGGAGGAGGGGCAGAGGGTGCCCCCAAAGAATGGGGTATCACTGAGCTGGTACCACCTGCAGCCAGTCCCCGCAGAGGGAGGTCATGGTCCCATCCTCTGCAATGACACTCAGGAGGCTCAAGCCATGTCGGGCCCCCAGCTCCGCATCGGCAGGGCTGTGAGCTGGAGTCACCTTCACTGCCCCTGGGGGAGCAGAACCACTGTGAGCACTGAACCCTGACCTCGGCTTTTGCTTTTCCAGATTTTCTAGATGTACTGTCATCACCCACACTGTTCCACCCACTGTCTCATCCCCCACTCTCCAGTGAGACGACCTCCCCTACTTTCTGCCTCCTCCTGGTTCCCTCCCTTTTCCTCCAGAATCTCTGACTTCCTTTCTCTCCCCTGCCCTCACTCACCCGTGCCCAGGTGTGGCTGAACAGTGGAGTCTGTGATGAGGGGGAGAAGCTGCCCAGTCAAGGGGTGACGAAGCTGTCGGCCATGTAGATGCTGAAGGGAAGGGAGAGGGATCAAGGGCAGGTACGTGTGCGGGGTGGACAGGTCTGGGCTGGGTGTGAGAACACTGGGAATACTATAGGGAAAACCTGCCACAGCAGGACTCAGCGGACCTTTTCTTAAGGGGCCAGAGTGTAAATATTTTAAGCTTTACAGACCAGGAGGCAAATTCAGTCTCTGCACAATAACTCCACTCTACTGCCATAGTACAGTTAGGTAATTCATGATCATAACTGTAGATGACACACGGGGAATAAGCATGGCTCATACAAAAACAGGCAGTGGGTGGATCTGGCCCTCGGGCCATAGTTGTCAGCTCCTGAGCTGAAGAGTAACAGAGGAAGAGAGGGGAGTAGACTCAGAGACACTGGAGAGCTGAGATAAGGGAAATCTTAGGAAAAGGAAAGGGAAGCAGAGAGAAGGCGCTGTCATCCTAAACGGAAGGGAAGAGAAGGTGCGGTGGTGGGAAGCACAGGTGGCAGGGAGCGCCCTGTGTATTACTGTGTATCGGGAGTCGTCAGGATGGACGGCCACAGCCACGTCCCCAGGCAGCGTCTCTGGCCTCGTGGTTCCGACCACAACCTCTGCATCTGAAGACAAAATTCAAGCACTTAAAGCTGGTCCTCACCCTCACCCTGCACTTCCGACACAGCTAAAGCCAGGAGAACTGGCACAGGGAGGGGACAGGGATGGTCAAGGTGGAGCAGGTCCCCAGGTGTAACTAGAGAAAATTAGGACCAGCATCTATAGGAGCCTGGGGTTTCTGCTAAGCTAATGACCAGAGACTGAGAGGGTCTCTGATGCTACAGAATTCCTCAATAACTTGCATGAGAAACACAGTTAATCTAGTTAATAAATCAATCTAGTTAATGAATGCAACTGGAATCCTTGCATGGAGCCCAGAGGGCACTGGGGGTTCTCGGGGTGTGGGGTCTGATCACAAATGCTATGCATTCTCTGGGCGAGCACCAGCCCCTCCTACAAGAAACTTCCTATGTACATTTTTATTTGTCAACCATATCTCAATAAAGCTGAAAAAATTTTTAATGTTAAAAAAAAAAAGAAACTTCCTGAATATTCCAGCTCATCTGTCTTCCCTTCTTTGAACTCTGGGGAACACTTACTATTCAAACCACCCTGCAGAACTGATCTTTTGTCTCTTTCGGGGGTGGGACCCTCCTGCAGAATTACACTAAGCTCCCGCAGGAGAGGGATCACACACCCTTCTTACATGGCCCAGGATACCCAGGTTAGTGCCCATGAGGATGCAAACACTACCAAAGTTCCCTATGTCCCTCCCATCAGGTCACATGGGAAACAGGCTGGTGAGTTCCCTCCCATCAGCTCCACACGGGCTCGAGAAAACAGAGGTAAGTGGGTGACCCTTCCAAGGACTTCCCTCACCAGGCTCTCCATCCACAGGGAAGGCCACAGAAAAGAGGAGGCCGAAAGACACGGAGGTGGGGCAGCCGGGCAACCGAAGCTCTGTGCGGCCAGGCAGGGGCCGGCTCTCCACCTGGAGGTGTCGAAGAAGTAGGGTCAGAGAGCAGACTTTCTGCAGGCTTCCCACCTCCAAACACCCACCAGCCCCGGCCTCCCATGCAACCCATCCAAATCACTCAGGATTCGGGAGCCACTGCCCTCCCCTCACCTAATCCTTTTACAGTTATAGAAAAATATTCACTGAGCACTTAAACCACGGATGGGTATGGTGCTGAGCACTTTCTGGGAGTTTTAATTTTCCCAACACCCCCACGATGCAGGCATTTCCATCACCCCTAATTTACAGATTGGGAAACTGAGGCCGACAAACGCTAACAGCCTGGCCAGAAGTCACACAGCTGGGAGGTGGCCGGACTGAGATGTGAATCCAGGCAATCTGGCTCCAGAGTCCGAGCTTTCCCATCACCTCTGGGCTCCCACAAATTCTCTTCTCTTTTTCTGTCTCACCTCAACATCCGAGATGGCGGATCGCAGAGTACACGACCAGTTGACAAGCTGCCGGCTCCGGTACAACAACCCTGCCTTGTAGAGTCGCACGAAAGCTTCTGTCACAGCCGCTGAGGAGCCCTAGGACGACCTGAGTGTCCAGATGTGACAGCCCTTTCTCGGCCCATCACCCCACTCTGGGACCCGAGCATCCCCTGGCACAACCCCAACACACACCGCAACACATCTCCCTGCACAGATCTCTAAACACCTCCCGACACCCTCAGGGACCGAGGCGTGGCACTCACAGCATCCATGGTAAAACGTTCTCGGTCCCAGTCCAGGGAGGCCCCCAGCGCTCGGAGCTGCTCACAGATCTCTCCACCTTTCCTGTGCCCAGAGAGATTCTGGTCAGCAAACATGTCCCAAACACCAACTATGCAGCAGGCCCAGTAAAACCGCAGGTGCTGGAGTGAGTACGGCATTGATCGAACCTCTAGAAGCTAATGGAGACAGAAAAACCCGGTATGGATCCTTCTGTGACAGGAAAGAAGCTTAAGGTTCTACCATTACGGGAAGAGGCAGTCGATTTGTGGGAAACCCAAAGATGCTTTAGAGAAGATGGTGTGTGATAATAGACCTGGAAGAAAGGGAAATTTCAAGTGGATGGAAGGTGGGAGTGGGTGAGAAGAGATGATGAAATCTAGGCAAGGGAAATGGGATAAATGGAGAAAAAAACACATGCATACACACATGCATGTGTACACACATATATATACATTTTAATATAATATATAACATCTCACACCCACACAAAACTTGCAGACCCCATCAAATGCTAAGGGGCTCCAGAGCCTACATCTCCACTCAAAGTTAGGGCTGAATAAGAAGAACCTCAGCTACAAGTTAGGGGAGAGGCACTGGGAAGCCAGAACCCAAACCTGCCACCTGGGCCCCTCCAGCCCTGTCCATCATACTCACTCCTCCTTCCACTTCCACACCTCCCCAAGGAAGTCTTCTCGGCTCAGCTCATGTCTCCTCACACCTCGCTCCTTCCACAGCTGTTTCTCCACCACAGCCTACAGTAAGATGAGGGGGCAGGCAGAGAATCAGGTCACCTTGGGGGAAGACATCTCTTTCACCGAAGAAAAGGAAAAAGTGGCAAAAGACATACTTGAGGGTGGGGGTATAGCTCAGTGGTAGAGCACATGCTTAGCATGCACAAAGTCCTGGGTTCAATCCCAAGTACCTACATTTTTAAAAAATAACAAATAAATAAAGTCAAGTTAAAAAAAAAAAGACATACCTGAGTAGCAATTCCTGCATGATCCGAACCAGGGACCCACAGCACTCGATCCCCACGCATCCGGTGCCTGCAGAAGAAATACCCTCACGTGAATGCCCTGGCCTCGTATATTTACTCACTCCTTCTCAAACTTTCTCCTTCCCCTCCAAGAACTCAAGCCCCTTCCCCTCTCACCAGCGCACAAGGGCATCCTGTATGGCCACCGTCAGCGCATGCCCAATGTGCAGGGAGCCGGTGACATTGGGAGGTGGGATACACATGGAAAAGGTCTGCCCTGTGGCCTGGGGCAGCCTGGCCTAGAAGGAAGGAGAAATGTCAAAGGGCAAGAGAGGACTGGATGTCACCTGGGGAAACAGCACCCTCTGGTGTCTCCAAGGCAGAAAGGACTGCAGGAAGACCCTTTGGGCAAATTAACAGAGGATGGGAAAACCTGCAGAGAACACTCTGGAGACACGAAGGGGAGAAGACAAGTTCCCCCTGCTTCGTAGCAGGCTCTGCAATGTGGCTGACTGTGAGCTCTAGACTGAGGCTCAGTTGTCCCCACCAACCTCTGGGGCCATTCTGCCCTGAGGACCGTTTAGCACCACCCCTGCCAGGTACTGACCTGATATTCTGGTTTGAAGAAGCCCTCTCGCACCCACCAAGGGTACCAGGCAGCCTCAACGTATTGGGGGCTGTATGCAGGAGGCAGGGGCCGGGAGACATCTATGGAGGCAGAGGAGAGCTCACTAACTCCCGAATTTTGTTCCCAGGTTGCATTTCAGTAAAACAAATGGGCCATCGAAATGTGAGAGAAAAGGCCTTCAAGTTTCCTAGTTACCTTTCTTTTCACCGTGTTCCGTGGGGATTTCATACAACACTATCTCCTTAGGAGTCCAGGCCTTACTGGATTCCACAGGTGACTGGCAGGAGAAAGGATCAGAAAAGGTAATGCAATTCCAGTATATCCCAGGCATCTGGAATCCAGCCAGTCCCCTCCAGCTCCCTCCCAAGATCTCTCAGAGAACCAAGGGACCCCTAACCTTGTTCTGGGATATCCCTGCCTCCAGCGCCGCCTGCTTCTCTCGCAGGCGCTTCTGTTTGGCTTCACGGTTCCTCCGGGAGACGGATGATCCATGGGGCTCTGACTGGGTGGAAAGGGGATATGACCTGGGGAGGCCCCGTGAGGGCCTCAGCCCCCAAAGCGGTGGTCGAAAAGTAGCCAAAGGCAAATGAGGCATCGGGAGTGCTTGGAAAAGGGCCAAGACCTGTTCCAGATAGAGCACATTAGGAGGGTATGGGGGTGAGAGAGGGTCACATCTTCCAAAATCACACTCTCTTCCTTATTTCCTGTCTCCTTCCAGCACTGGTCGGTTATTTTAAGTATCTATCCCAGCCCACACCTTTCCTCCGCGAGGACTAGAGTGCATGGTGTCGACAAGGTCCTGGAGTCACAGAGATCGGGGCTCTTCTGGGACAGGATCGGGGTCTCAGGGCCTCAACCTATTTATCTGTGACGTGAGGATAACCACGGGCACAGAGGAGGGGAAAGGACTCAAGGAGATCCCGAGAGCCAGGAAGAAGTCTCGCCAGGCTCACGGAGATCCCCGCCTGCCCAGAGGCCGTCATTGTCCCCAGCCCAGCGCGCTGCTCCGCCTTCCTGCCCGTCTCATGGCGTGAGCCCTGGCCCCGCACTGCCTCCCACTCCCCGGAGGCTGCTCCGGCGCTCGCTCACCCGGTGAGCCCGCCGCTATCCCAAGGCGCCCTGCGCCAGAGGCGGGGGCTTCATGGACTTAGGGACCAGAGAAACCGCCCCCGGAACTAGAGTCGCGATCCACGCCGCACAATGAGGCGGAACTCTGTCAGGGCGCATGCGCAGTAGCAGGCCTCGGTCCCTCTTCCTCCCCTTCCGGGTCCAATAGCGGTCCACCCGGGGAGGAGCGCGCCTGCCGCGCAAAGATGGGTAGCCTCCTAGGGAGGCGTGCGGGGCCGCTTGGTTCATTTTCACAACTTTATTACAATAAGAGTCCCGGCGTGTGAATAAAAAAACACCTGAGTTCTGAGGCCGCGCGTGCCTCCACGCGGCCCGCCCTGCCCGGTCCCGCCCCGCCCGGGTCCAGTCCCGGTCCCAGGCCGGCACTCTCAGGAGCTGTGCTTCTGCCGCTTCCAGAAGCGCTTGACGTCGCTGTGCCCGGCCGGGGTCACCACCATGAGCCGCTTGGCCGAGTTCTCGAACACTAGGACGCCCAGCTCCCGCGCATGGGCCAACAGCAGCTCAAAGTCCACTTGCGACAGGAACTGGTTATACAGGACGCCTGGGGTCCGCAGGTCAGGGGCAGAGGGGAGAGAGAGGGGAGAACGTGAGGCGAGGAGCCCTTTGGTGGCAGCCTCAGGCCAGCGGTCAGGGCTTGCCACCCACATTTAATATTAATCCTTAATGTTTGCCTCTTCCAGGGCCCATCCTAACCCTAGTGTGATCCAACCGTGTTCAGGAAGGCAATATAATACAGTAAGAAAACCCATCAATGCTTACCAAAACCAGAGAAATTATGAATTAGTGCGCCCCTCCCCCCACCATTTCCCTCTTCTGGCTAAATACAAATTGCACCTATTTGAGGCAATTCATTTACTGCTACCGACTCACCCCAAAATAAAAAGTTCATGGGTTTACCAGCCCATGCAGTAAACACAAATAAAATGCATGAATAGCTTTTTCAGCTCATCAAGAAAATTGTCCTAACTCTGGACAATGACGAACAATCAACCACCAGAAGCCACTCACCCTCAGTGAACCGGAGTCTGTCCCTTTCCAGCTCCCACAGCCGAATCTGGTCCGTGATGGTGGGAGGCAGCACAGGTGTCTGCAGAGGTAAGGGATAGCTAGAAGATTCAGGAACACCGCCCCAAAAACCCCAGCCCTCCACTCATTCCCAGATTTAGATGCCCCTTTCTCTTTTCCATCAGTTCATTGCTAAGTGCCAAGGGCTGTCAGCCTCCAGCAGGTTGGTACCTGTTTAAGCATCACCGGGTGAGCCCTTGTCCTTAGGAAATGGATGATCTAGGAAAACAGACAAGAATTGGGATCAAGAGCTTAAGTTAAGAAGGCAGGAAAGCTACATAAGCTGTCACCTAATGTTACTGAACATCAGCTGACTAAAAACTCTTAGGCACATGCCTGTCATCAATTCAACCCAGGTCAGTTCAGCTGTTGTCCCGGAGGTGCTGTTCCCACTGGTGATGTCTGCTGCTCCTTCTCTGACAGTTGCCCTTTCCATAGTCTTGTTTTGTTTTTCTTTCTTTAAAATGACAGCAGCTATTATTTTCTGAACACTTACAGCACAGCAGGCTCTAAGTTAAATGCTTTACTTCTATTTCATTGAATCCTCCCAACAACTGTATGAGGTGAGAACTGTCATTATTTCCATTTTCCAGATGGAGAAACTGAAGCTCAGAGAAGTAAAACAACTAGGGTGTTTATGCAGCTAGGAAGTGGTGGTGCAGAGACACAAATCCAGAGCTATTGCTCCTCCCTCTGTGCTTTTTCCCCTTGAGGATATACTTATTCCCTCACTTAGAGCCTTGATTTCTCCTGTGTCTGATGCTCAAATGCAGACAACTCACCACCACCTATTGTAATACACCAGGTACTAACCTTCCATAAGGTGACTGCCTTGTACCCTGCAGCCCAAGTGCAGCCTGTCTTCCTGGCCCCTAGTGGGAATACCTGTTGGGCTGTGATGCCACTGGCAATGGCCTGCTGCACACTCTCGCGGGTCACCTGTGCCACCACCATGTTGGGGAAGCGATAGAGCATCTCGGAGAAGAGGGCAATGAGGGCGATCTGCAGCTCCGACTCTGAGCCGGGGACAAGAAGAGGGGATTAGGAGGGTCCCCCCACGACACCCAGACTCCCTCAAGCCTCAGAGAGGTCTGTAAACCGTCAAGTTTACATGAACCACCAAGTTACAAATTTACATGAATAGAAACTGCATTCCCTCCTGTTTCTTTCCCTTCCGCACTCCCCTCCCCTACTGGCTCTCCCAGGGGCCCTCTGTCCTGCCTCACCCGTGTAGGCATACAGTCGGTAATTGGTTTCCACGACAATGAAGCCTGGCTGATGTGCGGTGCCCCCGGCCCCAGAAACACCTGACGAGAGATTGATGGCCAGGCGCGTGGGGTAGTAACGCCGAGATTTCCTCTAGAAAGGAGACAAGGCAATATTGCTCTGTCACTGTCACTGTCCTACATCTTCCTCCAGAGACATCAGATCCCTCCTGGTGCACAGAAACTCAGCTCCAGACTGCCCTCCCCCTCCTCCAAGGGACCCAGTTATTTCATCCTGGCAATTGCTTCCTGTTACTGACTCCAGAGACCCCACTCCTTTTTAAAGGCCAAGGCAACATACCACCCTGCCTCTTCCCTAGAAGCCACATATCTGGATGCTCATACCTTCCTCTGGAAAACAAGTCCAAACTCACGCAGATGTTGCAGGAAGTTCAACAGAGAATCACTCATACCTTCCACAGAGTAATCCTGATGAAGAGAGGTGGCCAGCTGGGGTCCAAGGTACATCCCATGCCTCCTTTTCCAGCCCCATACACTCACTCCCTCTTCGCTCATTCTTATCTTTCACTCTGTTGCCCCATAGCCTCATTTCCCCTTCCCATCTCTCTGCCCTTAAGCTCACCTACCCAAGCCCCCAGCCCCGGTCCCCGGCTTACCTTGCCCAGAGTTGAGAAGCTGAGCTGGAAGAGGAAGGAGAGAATCTCCACTAGGTCCATGCCCCGACTCTAGAGAGGAATGGGCAGAGACAGAGAGGAGCGGGAGGGTGAAAATGAGAAGACAGAAAATCAGGGAACAGAGTCTGTGGGCAGCCATCTCTCAGGGGGTCCTGGGAAGAGCACAGCGTGCTAGCTGGCAGCCCCAGCCTCCTCACCTGGGCTGTCTGCAGGTACTGCAACATAAAGTACCAGAGCTGGGCGGGGGTGTCCAGCAACAGGAACTGGAAGCCGGCAGAGGTAATGCAGGGCGGCTCTCCAGGTTCGGCACTGGAGACAGAGAGGGACCATGGCAGGGGTGTGCAGAGAAAGGCCAGCATCCCACCTGTCCACTCACATGTTTTTCTTGTTTATCTCTGGCCCTACTCTGCTCAGCTGTCCTTTTGCGGTCAACCCCCTCCAATCCTGACCCGACCTGGACACTCAGTTTAGTAGGGACTCGAGGGGGCACAACAGAGCTGTCGTACCTCCGGCTTCCTCACCTCTTCATGAGCCCCGCCTGGCTGAGGAGCTGGGCCAAGTCCTGGCTGACGGCTGCACTGGGGGAGCCCACCATGAAGTGCAGGACCACCTGAGGAACAGAAGACAACAGAGAGGCAAATGCCTCTAAGGGCCATGGGAAGGAGGATTGTGAGCAGAGACACACACAGAGTCCCAAGTCCTCACCTCCCATCGCTCCTCGGCGTACTTGTCAAGTGAGGGGACATCCCGGGCATGCTTGTCTGGTCCCAGCTGACTTGTGTCATCTGACCAGGCCTTGCCCCTATGCCAGGATGGCCAAGAATAAAGAAACTTGCCTGTGTTCCCTGCCCACCCCTTTGCCCTCTTTCCACTCTTGTCCCCCAAGCCATGAGTGAGAGACATTTCCTACACCATGTAGCTATGTCTGGTCTAACATTCCTGAAGGAGTTCCCGAAGGTGGAGCCCACAAGTTTCCAGAGAGTCCCCTCAGGAGCTCCCCATCCAGCAGCTTACTTAACAATTTAGTCACTAGTTCCCCTGCCTCGCTTAGGAAAAGACGGAAGTGACATACCCACCCAGAAGGGCAATGCGGAGGTTTTGGCGGAAGATGGGGTTGAGGATGAGACCCTGGAGACCACCAGGAAGCAGCTGGGTGTGCCAGATACGGAGGCCACTCAGCAGCCCTGTGCTTTCCTCCTGAGCTCTGGAACAGAAGCAGAGAGGTGAGGGGGTGTTTGGAGAACAAAAAGGAGGCCCATAAAGGCTTCCATTTCTGCCTTCTCTAAACTGGTGGTTCTTGGAACACTTTTACAGAGTGAAGTCAGTGTCTTCTTAAGGCAAATTTCTTTACTGCAACACCTACCAGAGCTTTGTTATAGATATCACAACTCTCCAAGAATTGAAATACAGTATGCAGAGTTTCCCAAACTTGTTTAATAAGTTTTGTGGTGTTCCCATTAATATTTCCTGGAAGTGTTCCAAGAACAGCAGTTTGGAAAGTCTGGCTGTTGAGAATTTGTATCTGGCTGAGAATGCAGCAGAGACTCACTTGCTGAATTCCTTCTTCACCCACAGGGCTACAGCAGCTTGCGGCAAAGGCTGCTCCAGAAAGAGCATCCGCATCACCCAGTTCTTAGCCAAAGATGGGAGCTCCCTGTAAGGGGGCGTAGGGAAAATGTTAATATCAGAAACGGCCCTAGATCTGCATCTCTGCCCTCAACAGCCTCTCAAACATCTCACCTCACCCCCGACACTTTTACTGGTCTTGCTGACCACCACAAACCCCATCCGTTTTGGCCTGACATACTTTAATCTTCAAGCCCCACCAGGGCTAAGCTTCTATCCATGATAACCTATTTCTGTCTGCAGACTCCATTACATTTCCCCACCACAGCCCCTGCCATGAAGAGAGTCCTCACCTGAAGACAGCCAGACAGGTGGCAGGATGCCCATATAATCGATCCAATACCCCAGGGCTCAGGCTTCCTAGGAATTCCTGCAGATTCCTGCATTGTAGATGTACTCGATTCAGTCCACCCCTTGAAGGGGTGCTCTCCATCACCTGAGAGACACAAGTGTTAGCATCCATATGCCAGTGTCACCCCCTCACCTTTCTCATTCTTACTCTGATTCCAGATCCACTGGCCCCCACAAAAACTCATCTTTTCTATGGTTTCCTTTTCCATGTCACTCATCTCCTCTTGTTTCTCCTAAACCTGACCAAACTCCCCTCCTTTCCTGCCTCCTCACCCGACTTATATCCTCAACTCCAGTCTTCTGTCAATTTCTAAGTGACAGAACTGCCAATCGTCCCATATTTGCAAAAAACGTTTTGTATTTCAGTGACTTAATCTCATCTTTACCTAAGCAGTGACAAAGGAAACTTGTTTCAGCCCAATCCTCTCTCCACTTCTCCTGGTCAGGTCAGCCTATAAGCTCCAAATCTGTCCGTGCTTCCCATCTATTTCTTGGCCCTACATCTCTTGCTGCGCATGGCAATAATCCGTGTCTCCCAAATCCAGTTCTACTTCTTTCCTCTCCCCGCCTCCAAGACTACTTCACTCCATTCACTTTGATCCACATCATACGATCTCCGAACTTCTCCCCTACTTTCCTCAGAGTCCTCGCCTCTCACTCAACTCTCTCCCCCTATATCTCCGCCACCTCCTCTCTCCCAGCCCCCTTACCACTCTGTGTCGATCTCCCCTCGTGCACTCCGAGTTTTAAGCCGTCGCTTAATCGGAGCAAATGTCTCGCATTGGCTCCCGAGAACAGAGGAAAGGAGGGCGGAAAATGAGACAGAAAGATGGGGAGAGGGACGAAGGATTTCACCGACAGGAGTCCAGAGCGGAGGAGTCAGAAGAAAACGGAAGGAAGGGAAGGAGTGGAGAAGTGGGGAGGATAAGAATCGGTGCTGCACTCGCCTGCCGCAAGGCATATTGGGAATTGGAGTCTTGTCTTTCCCTACCCGGGAGCAGGGTAAAGCGCGTCTGACTACAACTCCCAAAAGGCACCGCTGGGAAGCTTAGCGAAGAGAGGCTGGCCTTTAAGCGAGAGAGCCGGGAGCACCGGCGGTTGGGCTGCTTCGTTCCGCGTCGCTATCCACCCACTCGGCTAACGGCGAGTCTAACTGACCTGAGCTAGTGTGGGGATCCTGGGAGAAGTGCCCTGAAAGCTTCCTAGCGGAGGCGGGGAAATGGCTCGGTGATGAGACGTAGAGCCTCACGAAACTGGATTCCTCGACCTCCCCGTAAAGTTGGAATAATGCACTTTCCAGAACTTTTCTTCATATTAGAAGTTAACTCGATCCGGTGCGCCTTCCTCGGCACGTAAGTACTCAATAAATCTTAATTGTCACTTCCTCCATGCTTCCA